TCCCCTCTCCGGGGCACGACCGCACTCCGTCTGTGGCCCCGGTCTGGTCGTCCCGCTGCCGTTGTCCTCGGGGGAGCTCGGCAGGGGCAGGGGAGGAGAAGACGGCTCTGGAAGTTAGCGCCCCCCCAAGCCTTTCCTGTCCGCCCCAATGAAAGTCCGAGCTTGGCTCTCCTCCCAGCGTGCCAGGTCTTCGTGGAGCGGACGGCGGGTGGCTAGGCAGCCTTCGGCCGGGCACGGGGAGTCGCCTCCCGCACTGCTTGTAAAGACGCCCTCCGCCTCCCGGCCTCCTGCCGGGCCTGCGCTCTGGGTGACCCCTTCTTTGCTCCGCTTCTGCCAGGCCTCGATTCCCGCGGCTTCCTCTTTGGGCCCGTGTTGGCCCAGCGGCTGGGAGTTGGATTCCTGCTGATCCGCAAGAAAGGGAAGCTCCCGGGGTCCACGGAATCCATGTCCTACGCTCTGGAGTATGGCAAGGTCAGTGTTTGTTGGGGCAGGTCCGGCTCGGGCAAAGTCCCTTCCGAGAACGGAAAGCTCACCTGCGCGCAGCCTGCCAAGGGTGACCGGTTGGCTCAAAGCCAGTTGGTTTTCTTCCTTCCTGCAGGCAGAACTGGAAGTCCAGAAGGACGCGGTGAAGCCAGGCCAGAGAGTCATCATAGTCGACGACCTGCTTGCCACGGGAGGTAAGCATCCTCTCCAGTTGCTGGCCAAGTGGGGAAGGGGGCTAGCGAGAGGCTTCTTTTACTCCAAGCAGGGGCCATTCTGTATTTTCAGTGCTGGCTCTAGGAGGGACAGCAGTCCACAAACAAGGGCACCATAGCTCCCATCGTTCCCAGCCTCCATGGCTTTTAGCCTGTAAGTTGAAGAAGGCTGAATGTGGGGCTTAGGGCAATGTCTTGCATTTCAAAGCTTACAAAATGAAATGCTTCAAGACTGGGCTGGCTTTCTCCCCCCCCCCACTCCCTTTTTTAAAATCCTGTTTCACCCTCTACCTAAGCATGGACTTCCCTTTGCAAAAATGGATGTGTTCATTTGCCATGCATCAGTTATCCGCAGCGTTTTAGCCAGGCTCTTTGCAACACCAGGACGAATCTTGCAACTTTTGGGTTTTGTTTCAAGATGTTTTGCAACTTCTGCTGCTGTAGTAGAACTTGCTGTGCCATGCAAGGGGGATTGGGGGAAATTTGGGGATTTCCCAGAAGGTGTGCGGAGCAAGTGGACTAAATTGTGAAATAAAGGAAGGAGGGTGGGGGAGCGAATTCAGGCTGGGACCTTGCATGGCAATTACAACCTTTCTTAGTTCACTTTTACAGGAAAAAAAGTGGTCTGATTTATGTGCTGCCCCTCTCCCTCAGAGAGCATGGCGGGTTCATCCACGGTATCATTTCTAGTATTTAAGAACTGTAGAGGATCGAACCAAGGGCTAATGCTTCCAGCCTTCTGTCCCCATGGTGGTCACTGTGTGCCTGTTGCAAGCCCACAGGTGGGACAGGATCCCTCCCTTCAAGTCCCCCCCCCAAACAGGAAGAGGCAACAGGGAGAGGTAGATGGCACCTAAATTGAGAAGCAGTATGGCCATCACGATTAGTACCCAGGGCGGTGGTGTGGCCAAGGTACTCAGTTGGGAGCGGGGAGACTCGGGTTCAAGTCCCCTCTGATCACAGCCACTTGGGGGGGGGGCTTTGGGCCAGTCACATTCTCTCAGCTCAACGTCTCTCACAGTTGTTGAATGAAATTGGAGATGGGAAGGTGGCATACGGCACCTTGCATTTGTGGAGGAAAGGTAGATCTGAATTTATCAAAATATTTTTCCGTCACCCTCTTGACTCACCTAACAGCTTCTCTTGCCCCCCCCCAGGTACCATGCGAGCTGCCTGTGAGCTGATGACGAAGCTGCAAGCCGACATCCTGGATTGCTTGGTGCTCATCGAGCTGACATTCCTCAAAGGGGCAGAGGCACTCAAACCCTTCCCTCTCTACTCACTATTGCAATATGACTGATGCCTGGAGAAGCTGCTCCTTTGGTTAGTTCTGTCCCGCTGCCCAGTTTCCAGTGTAGCTTTTCTCACTCCTGCCCCCCTCCTATAATTGGCCCTGAACTGTAACTGGGGGCGCCCAGTTTTTGCTGTACCACGCTTTGAAATCACTTGATGATTCACCCATCAAGGGCCAAGCGGGCCTTGAACTTCCCAAGAGAAGCGGGGGCTTGCCACTCCCGCACAGGTTGCTCAAACCTTGAGCAATCGGGGCACGCTGTGCAGTTACGTGGTTAAAAAGCACGCCAGGTAATTTAAATATGCTCTGAAGCCTGAGTCATTGGCAGCCAAAGGTCTTTTGCAATAGAGCCCCACCACACAGGGTTATGGCTGGGGCACGCATGGATCTGTCCCTAGAAATTATCATGCAGACTCTGATGCTCATCTCAGATGAATTAATGTTTCCTTCCTCCTCTTCCAGAAGCTAAAGAGAACAAGGGAAATGGGATGGGCAAACTGCTTTCATAAAGCCAGTATGCAGGGTCTTAAGCAACCCAACCACAAAACCGTTTTGAGTTTGACTTCACTCCTAATCCCCCACAAGTTCGCTCCTGCAAATGTTCCTGGCCACTCCGTTTTGACAAAGCCAGCTAGAACAGGGGCTATGCGTGTCCACACATGTTGTTTGGGTTACTTACCAGGCAAGAAGGTGCTTTTTCCTAGTTCCCCTGCAGGGGTAGAATTAGGCTGTAGCTAGAGAGTCCCCCGCTCGGCTACCCTGGAAATCACCCCATGAGCAAACACTTCTCTCTGTGTAAAGACGTGACGATCTGCTATTAAATGTACAGTGCCCTTGCACCTTTCCCCTGCGTGGTTCCTTAAGGCCTTGGGGCTGCACAGGTCTGGGGGGTGGGACGGAAGCACAGCGTTGCTGGGGAGAAGCCCCACCGCGCTTGCTGCTCTGAGGCAGAGCTCGCAAAGGGGGCTGAAAGCCCCAGCAGAACTGGTCAAGGGGGTCTGCGCTTTAGAGCCGTTCCTGTGGGGCTGTTAAAGTCAGCGGTGGGGCAGTGTGCAGGGCTGGAGCCAGCCTTGGGATCCTGCTTGCATTTAAAAGGGGGGGGGTAGAGATGTGCTTGTCCAGCTTCTAATGAATGGAGTTTAATGCCAAGTTCCATATACAAATCACATTTCAAGACAGACCAAGCCTTCCTTTAAAAAAAAAAAAATCATTCCTCTCCGCTATCAGGCAAGTGTGGGGCATGTGGGATTCCACCCCCCCCTTCCCAGAAAAG